AAAAAAAAAGCCAGCCGGCCAGGTCTATTTTTAAAATTTCATGTTATGAAAACCAAGTAATTAAATTTGTATGGCCTAACGTATGACCAATTAGATTTTCACATATAAACATAAATTATCCAAATCATTCTATTATTAATTTAGCTAATTTTTATGAAAAATTTAATTAGTTTATATTTACAATAACAATATAAATAAATCATATTATATATATTAATTTTAAGTATCTATTATGCTCTTTAGATTGGGCTAATATTTTTTCTTCGACATGATTATAAAGGTTTTTGTTTAGCAATAATAGAAAAAAAAAATAAAATAAAATAAAAACAAAAAACAAAATAAAAGTAAGTCATATTGTTATTTTTGATGCAAGATATATTTTAATAATAATAATAAAATAGTGACAGAACAAAAAAGGCTTGAAGAATTGCAAGAATTTGTTGATCTTTATACGCAATGAAAAATTATGCTTTACATATATAAATTTTTAAAATTTTTGTTAAAACATATAATTTTATATTTTATTATTATTATTGTTTTTTATTTTTAATATATTTTAATCATATTGATATGTATTGTATACATGTTTACATTGATCCTTTTACTACACACTTAGAATATAAAAAATGACTAATTCTGGACAAAATAAATAAATCACTGACATTATCAATAACAAAAATAAACAAATCAAAGAACTTGAAGAATATATAGAATTCAAAAATAATCAAACAAATATAAAATTTTATTTTTATATATTTTTTAAATATTGGTTTAATTTGTATTTTTTTTTTATTAATATATATAATTTTAAGTATATTCATTATACTTATTTTTATTAAACTTTATAATGATTTTTCTTTAACTACAAATACATATTCACAATTTATATGCGAAGTTTACATATTAGGAGAATTTATATATAAAGAACCTTTAAGAAGAAATTATTATATGAAATATTATTTTCGATATATTTTTGATCATTGTATATTTTTTTATTTATAAATTAAATATTATGTTAAATAAATACTTTATAGAAATGATTGACAATAAATAAATATATATAAAATATTATTAGTATGTATTACTATTTTTTCTTGCTCTTTCCCACTATGAATATAATATCTCAAGTATGATCTTTGGACTGAGAGAGAAGTGTATTTATTACATGATGTACATAAAATTTTGGTTAAAAAAAATTGATAAATACTTGTAAGAGACGTGGGGTAGAACCATATATATGCTTTAGAAGGTTTTAATAATTCTTAGCCTTGTCAAATTACTCTTTGATAAACAAAAGAATTAGTACATGATATCTTTTTTGGGTTTGAACATATAATTATTAGTAAAATCCTTATTATGTTTTCTTCTACTATAGAGAGAGAAAACAGAATTTCAAGTCTTGAGAAGCTGAGAGGTGACATGCTCTATACACCCATTCTCTAAGCAACTAGTTAACTTGTATAGCTCTCATACAAGTTTAAATTAATGAGAGCATATTAATACTGTGATAAGGAATATGTCAAAATGGGTTAGTGCTCGATATATTTCTCACTTTAAAAGGCAGTAAAGATTATTTGTGAATCTTTTTTAAGTGACAAATAGTCTATACATGTTTATGAAAAATACCTTGATATGGTAAACATGCTCTAGTAGATACAATTTGTATTGAAGCAAATTTTCCAATTTATTAAATAATTAAACATTTTAATTGATAATATGAAAAATAATTTGAAACTAAAACATACAAATAAAATAAAACTAAATTTAATAACAAATAAATAAATATTTTTAAAGAAAAAATTTTCATCTTTTTTATTCATAGAATAGCAAGTTCTTGATTTTGTTAATTAATATCATTCTCGAGTTTAGTGATTTCCTCTTGTAATTGATGATTTAAATTTAATAAAGTTTCTTTATTATTGAGAAAAGCTATATTTTGCTGTGATAGATCATAAATATCTAATAAACTTTTTCGATATATTTCAAACAATAATTCACCACCTGTTAACTGTGGTTCTGTCATTTTATACTTCTAAACCATCAAATATATTTCCAATTATCTTATCCAGTTTGAAATCCAAATCTCTATATAGCAAAATTTTAAATACAATATCAAGATAATGTTGCTTTGTTATTAATATTTTTTTATTCTTATAATAATCGTTGTCAAACACTTTAAATAAAGTATGTTCAGTAAACCCAGTATGATCTGGATATTTATTTAAATTTGATATTACTATTTCTTTTAAAATTTTTATCTCTTTATCTGACGTAAATACAAGTTTTTTATATTTATCGAAAATCTACTATATTATTGTTGGAGTGGCTATTATATCTTCACCACCACTCCTTTGAGAATATGCCAATCTTATTTGAGATATTTCTATATTTTCTTTTATAATTTTCAATTTTTATTTTTTATTAATTGAATTGATTAAATCATCTACAAGTTTTGTTTTTTTAGGAGTTGTTTCTTTTTTGTCATTTAAATTATACCTTTTTAAATTATTGTTTTTAAAATATTCTCTTAAAATATTATTAAATCTTTCTTTTATAAGATGATTGGCTGTAAAGGTTTTTAAAACTTTTAACATCATCTGCATTTTTTATAGTTTTGAATAATGCTTTTATCAAAATAGGATCTAGAAATATTTTCTTTATCAACTTGTATATAATGTTTTTTTTAATAACTTTTTCACAAAAATCTTCTACATTATTAAACAAAGTACAGAAATTAAAAATATTTCATATTCTTTAATTTCTGTATTAATGAAATAATAATCTTTTTCTGGATCATTATAAATTTCTATGACCTTTTTACGTAAATATTGAAGGTTTTTTTTATCCTGTGAATCATCTAATTTTTTAATTTCAATATCAAAATAATTGTTATCTTGCAACGGTTCAACATATTCTTTCATCCGGAAATATTTTCAGATATCCTAGAACTAACTCTTGTATTAAACAATAAACTAGTAAAATTTTGCTCATTAGAGATTCAAATGCATCATTAAAATTGTCTATTTTCTTATGATCTAAAATATAAGATCTTGTTAAGAAATACAATTTTCTTCACATTTTCTTAACATTTCCTTATTTCATGGTTTATCGAAATATTCTGGTTTTAAAAATTGAATTAATAAATCGTATTTTTCTTCATCCACAAGAGATTCTCTATCTTTTTCAACTCACATTTCTCATTCTATAATGTCGTATAACAAATTATTGTATCTATTTTTTTTTTGTTTATTAATTGTTTTCTATTATAATCTATACTGTCTAATGATGTTTGATTGAGTCTATTCATCATTATAGCTAAATTACTACTATTTGATAATTCTTAAATATTTTGTCTTCTATAATATGTATTAATTAAGTATATATATCTATCATAATTTTGTATTTCTCTTTCTCTTAAAATAAGATTCAATCTCCCACATTGCATTTGCTATAATGCCACAACATCCTGATCATCTACCAAATTCTCATTCTTTATTTCACAAATACGATTATCAATAATTCTTCTTTCTTGTAATAAAGATTCTGAATCTATTTCTGATATTTTATTTTTTATCTCATTATAGTATTTATTCGATAAATTTTTTAACCTTTCATCTCTTAATACACAGTGGCTCTCGATATAACGGACTCTTGATATAATAGAGACTAAGTAAAATCTTGATATAATAGATCAAGATTCAGATCCACGACATAATAAATACTGCTTGGTATAATGGATTTACTAATAAAACTCACGATAAAGCAGATTTTAAAAAA